ACTCTAGCTTGATTATTGTATTGTACAAAGAATAAGTTCCAGTAATGAATACTTACTCTATCTTTATCTTATGTTGTGAAGAAATTACTAAGAAAGTACAAACAAAATAAGTGTACAAAATAAGTGTACATGCACATTAAAAACAGCATTTTTATATGCCTTTTGCAATCCCTATGAAACAGGTCTTTGTTGTTCTAACTGCTTCCAAAATTAACAAAATCTGCAAAATCCAACTACGTTTAACCAGCCAGTTGAACACAAATCATGTTTTGAAAATATCCACAAAACTTTAAAACATATGATATCTAAAATTCCTAAGCATTAAAATTTAGAGAAGATTCTGAGAAATTAATGTAGCCAGAAATATGAGCATATAGAATGTAAATACAAACCTACCTGAGAAGCCAAAACAGTTAATGGAAAAACTTGCAAAAGTTAATAGCATGAAAATAACTCTACAGAAAAGCCAATATTCTCCTACTTCTTGCCTCGGCCAAGTTAAGACATGGTATGCACACTTATCATTGTATACACCACCATACAATCTGGATTTTCCACTACTACTATTTATAGCAATACTATATGCTCTACTGATAAGACTACAAGTCAATAATCAATGCATGCTATATACACCAGTCTATTTAAAGCAACAGGGATTTTCACTGTGACCTAAATACTCAGCAGTAAGACATGCATGTGTACTACTACAGTCACATGTAAATGAACTTGTAGTATAAAACATAGGAATAAGCTACAGTTAAATTTTCCATGTTGTTCTTCTTGTGTTTTTGAATGGATGGGGGTATGCAGCACAAACACCCATAGATGTTTCAAAGCCGAAAATGGAAACATTAATGTAACTTAAAGTAATGGACCCTGATACTGCTTGTACTTGAGTCAAATTTTATTTAATAAACATTGGAAAACAAAAAAATTGTTTATATGTATGTGTAAGTTTATGTTGTGCTATTGTCGTATTTTGAAACTAAATGACTTTTATCAATTTATTCTAGAGTTATTAAACTAATACATTTGACATTAATCATTCACAACACTTCTTAAAGTTCTTATTTAAATCAAAATATGAAATTCATTTGAGCCGCATCACGACAAAACCAACATAGTGCGTTTGCGACCAGCATGGATCCAGACCAGCGCAGTCTGATCAGGATCCATGCTGTTCGCTATCAGTTTCTCTACTTGAGTTGGTAAGCGAACAGCATGGATCCTGATCAGACTGCGCAGGCTGGTCTGGATCCATGCTGGTCGCAAATGCACTATGTTGGTTTTGTTGTGATGCGGCTCATTTAGTTATGGACAAGCAAGTGATAAGTTTGGAATATCATGGCACCTCAGTAATGACCTGAAGTAAACAAAAAGAAACAGCAAACTTGCCTTGGTCAGTGGAATATAAAGTATTTTTAATAGGCTGTAGAAGTGTGAATATTCTAAATATCTTAAACATACCGGTACTTCAATTACACTGTCTCAATTTGGACAAGGCCGTATGAACATAATTTTTGGAAATATTTCCAGACAGAATAATGAACAGTGTGCACAGACCATAATCAGACAGTCAGGTCTGTGCTTCAGCTTGTTGCATGAGAAGAATCTACTACCACCAACAGGCCAAGAGAAAACCATGCATATCAACCTATAATATTCTCCCAACTTTGCCTAATTGAGTTGACATAAAAATTTTTGATTTGCAATTGTTCACTACCAGTCAAAGTGATTCAAATATCAAAATACTAAAACCAAGCAGCACACAGTATCACAATGCATAGCTTGCAATGAATGATACATGTTACATTGTACAAGCTGAATTAATTAAGCTCATAATCATACAAAGATCGAAAGTAACAGGTGCTTGAACTCACAATTACTCAGACACTGTTCAAATTCAAAGATTTAAGACTCAAAATAAATGCTACCAGTGATACTGTCTACCTGCTGCGAGTGGAAATAATAGTATAGTTTGCAGAAGGATGACTGGCCAAAACCTTGTCGCAAAGACTTTTCACTTTAAAGGGTGATAGCATTCTAATCATTATCATGAGATAATCTTTGACTAATATATTATCAATTACAATATTATTAAAATAATCCTAATATCAATCTTTTAAAACAACATAACAGCACTATTTCTTATAATATACTATTAATCATCTGATCAAACATTAATCCATATAATTATATCCACTATAAATGCAGAATTAAATTAATAGACCCATACACATGTAACAAGAGGTGTGTTTTTGACAAAAGTTCAGTTTTCCATTTTTTTATGTTATTCCTAATGTACTGTCCACTAAATAATGTACAATTTTATTAAGTAGATAAAAACTTTAAAATTGTTAACACACTAAACAGACATTTTCTTGTACATATATAATAAAGATATGACTGCAACAGAAAATATAACCAAATGATTAAAATAATATACAAGCATATTTGTAATTTGTGATTTTGTTGATAAGATCTTTTTCCTTAAAAAGTAGCAAATGAAACTTGGTGCAGGTGCAGACAGACATAGTCACAACAGTTCAAGTAACATCTGTTTAAGAATAAGAAGCTTGATTAAAGTTGACAGTGTGTATATAAAATAATGCATGTATATTCATAATGATTATAAATGAGCCGCGTCATGACAAAACCAACATAATGGGTTTGCGAACAGCATGGATCCAGACCAGCCTGCGCATCTGCGCAGTCTGATCAGGATCCATGCTGTTCGCTATCAGTTTCTCTACCTGTAATAGGGTTTGTAAGCGACCAGCATGGATCCTGATCAGACTGCGCGGATGCGCAGACTGGTTCTGGATCCATGCTGGTCGCAAACCCATTATGTTGGTTTTGTCATGACGCGGCTCAAATAAAAAATTTCAAATGCCCATCTTACATCACTGTTCTGTCTACAGGTGTTGATAGTCAGTTTGGTATTGAAATTTTTGAATTCAATTCTTTTTTAGTCTAGTCCCTATATCAAATACAAGAAACTTAATATGCATATATTGAAGAAAAGGTCAAAGTCTTAGAAGTTGTATACCTTTGAAATCATATAATGGTTGAACACGGATATAAACTTTTCTTTTATTCAACTTACTTTAAATGGACAACTTGCCTTGGACAATGAAAGTAAAAAATTTAATATTTTGTAGCCATTTTAAATGACCCAGCATTTGTAAAATGAATACATTTATATTTAGAATACTGACATGGACATAACAAATATCAATGGGCATTGATGAAACAGATAATAAACAATAAATTGGTAGTAATAAAACAACATAATGAAAAACAAGAACTTGGATGATAAATGATATATAGACTACAAATTACATGCTAGGAATGAATTATTTTTATTGTCATGGCTTTAGGTTTAACATATCCTGAAACATAAATTAAAAGTGGGAAGTATGGATGAAAAAATCTGTGTACTGCGCTTGTAAAATATATATGTTAATTAGCACAAATTTTAAGAATTATGTCATTGATCTGCTAATGAAGTAAAAACTACTACCTTATAAAATCAGAATATACTTCTTTGAAAAGATTGTGTTTGCCAAAATCTTACTTCCTATACAATCAAGACTAGCTTTACTCTTAAATAAGCAAAAGATACTTTTCTGAGATTCTGCAACAGAATTTATATAATTTCCTCAATACCTCCAACAGCAAAACTGATGCGACAGCTTTTGAAAAACTCAATAGATCTAATTCAAATTATTACCGAAAATCTATCAATGAATTACTTAGATTTTCTTTTTTTAGTTTTCCACAAACCAACACAGTTTAGCCTTTAGGTCATACGGCGCCAAAACAGGAAAGATGATTTTGGCTAACATCAGGTATTACATACTTCAAAGCAACACCAGGGGTCAAAACCATTTCACATGTTGCAGCTAAGAGATGCAAAAACTCCAGTTATTCAAACCCATTTAGTCACCTCTTACAATAATGCAGGGATAAAAAGTGGCTGCAATTCTGATGCCTCAATCATTAAAGGCAACCCCTCAGTCTCAAGGGGCAGACAAGATTTGGTCAGTGTTTGGTCAAGTCATCCCTGTATCAATTCCACACAGATCAACCAAAGCTTCTATTAGAATGAAAGCTTATAATGTGTTTTTCCTATGTTAGTGTATAACTGTCACTGACTTATATATAAATAATAGTGATCTTCAAAAGCTTGAAATATTTCAAATTTTTAATTATACATATTTTCTTTACAAACTCTCATTTTGTTAAACTCTGTAGTCTTGCTTATGTTAAAATGAATCTGGCCAACCCAATGCAAACTTTAAACATGGCAGTAATGACATGTCGTCAAGTTTGAGTTATGACCAAGGCTCCGACCAGACACCTGGTGCGATTCTGCCAAATTTAATAACAACTACTTCTTACACACTCTTTTCTTTTGTATGAGAATTATTTAGAAATAAGTTTGATTGCATGACATTTTTCAGCTTCAATTTATATGCTTTCAAGACACAGAAGTCATTGTTTTGTCATCCTTTATGATACATGTCCAGTTTCATCAAATTAAAATTCTTTCAGTTGTGAAATCATGTACATTTTTTGTAATTGGGTGAAAACAAATCACAGGGACAAATTTGACATCAAAAAATGAGAATCTGTTAGTCAGACCTGTCTAAATAAGATTAAAACATTAATAGGTGAAATATACAAAGATTATAGTTAAAGGGATGTAGTGATTCATTAAATAAATTCATGTTCTTTTAACACACCATATCATTGTTTATCATTTTGATTTCATTAATCGAAGAAAGTATCACATCAATATAAGCTATTAAAAACATACACTGTTCATAAATTATGAAGAAACCTGAGATTAAATGATGCATAAATGCTGAACTAGATTTCAACATATTTGAAATGTCAAGGTCACATATATCTAATTAAATATAAACAAATGTGATTGAATAATGTATCTTCTAATACAAACTGTAAAAAAACAAATATATAAAGGAGGTACAAACCTTCTTCCAGCCTCCTAGTCTTGTCACAGTTTGATACAGTAAATAAAGGTCAACCTCTTTATTCCCACATCTGGGCAGCAACTGAAAACTTGTCCTGAAAAGAAGACAAAGCCCAACAATTCAAATTGCCTAAACAAGACATGTACAATGTTTATCAGTAGGTAAAATGAAAGTAGATAAAGGCTATAGTGTGCTACAAAGAGTAAACTTACCCCCGATTGTAATGAAAATTTCTGAGGCCATCAATGAACTCTCGTTTTTCCTGTTCATAACGGCGAAGGTCTTTGTTTGGATTTTTAGCCATTTCTGTTCACTAAACGGATTCTTACGCTGTTTTCTAGTAGTAAACGCTGCTTCAGGTGATCCGTAAACCGGTGACAACAAACGCGATAGTCAAAACATCCCACCTTGTTGGTCACGCAGGGGAAATCCACGATAACTTGAAAGGAAAATTCTATCGCTCAGTCGACTGCCGCACAGCCGAGTAGTACACACAGCGGTAGAGTACAAATCCAAACACAAGTAATCAATACACAATATAGGTCCTCGCGGTAAAACAAGGAATTATTTTCCTATACAGATATCTGGTAGTTCTGCACTACAGTTACATATTTGACCGTTCGCGAATAAAAATCGACGAAAATTTCTCAACAAAAAGCATAATGAACATGCCAAAAATCAATTATTCTTCAGAGGGATATGGCGTATTGCTCATTATCCCGTCAAAATATTCAAGATGTCGGCGCTCATGCGCGGAACAAAGAAAAAACGCATTTAAAATTAACAGTTTTCTGACTTGTTTCTTAGATTAAGACTTCATAACTGCCCTTTCTTAGTTTAAAGCAACATTCTCCATTCCTTTTCTAGCAGCAGCAAGCCGATTTCTTGCGACTAGCGCGTGTGTAAATATTTCTTTACAGGTAATGTAGTCTGTGACGTCATAGCGTGTTAGCTGGTATACTGCACAAGAAAAAAAGCGCGTATGTTTCGCGAGTATCACCACCCTGTCGAAAAATGTAAATAATGACCAAGACCAGTTATACTGTACGCGTTGCTTTAAAGAGATTTGTCTCGACATGGAAAGTAATTAATATTTTCCAAACTTCCTTAGGAGTAATAAACAAGTGAAAACAGTGGTGAAAACATACCAATAAAGGGCTACAGTATACGTAAAAAGTAACGTGTAAATCACGCCTTTTCATTTTTTAATAAATAATTCTTATATTCCCATTCATAAAGTTGAAAAAATGAAATTAATTTCATACATATTCTATTACTATTGAATTTCAAAACGTTTCAGCTTACTTTAAACAGACTTTTGGGACCGGTTGTCCCTGGGGCAGTATGAATAGGACAGCCCGAGATGCGCAATTTTAGAAAATCTTAAACCCAACGCAACCGCCACGCGAGCAATTTACAATAACAATACCGTCTAATATACTGTAATCGTATAAATGTGTCGATACTAGTGGGTTTTTACCCTGCCTAAAAATAGAAAACAACTGACACAGAAACTCACTACTTGCCAATGATTCCGTTTTCTCGATAAGCGCTATATTGCCGAGTTTAAGTAAACCGCAAAGTCCTACCGTACAGTTAGTTATACAATTTTGCTAGTCAATATCCAATATAAACAATTTACAACAACCACATTCGTAAACACAATTTAAGTAGCATGGAGAAAAGTTCATTCATTTTTTCTTTAATAATTAAAGTCGTCGTCATCAGCATCTGTTGACAAAGCTTGTGTCTCTTTTTGCCCATTTAAGACTTGTGGCTAAAGGTTCTTGTTTTGTTGTGTGTCTTTTTCAATGTGTTTAAATTAATTAATGATCATTTGAAGCACGGTGACAAAGATGTAATGTGGGATATGTTCATCTATGACAACCTTAACATGTATAATTGTCATGTTATGTTTTTGTCCATTGCACTTGTACCATTACTGTTGACCAAAAAAACAACAACAACAAAATAGGATTTAATGTACACGTAAATATTTAGCTCTATGTGTTTTTAATACATAAAATCTGATTTGTAAGGTAAGGTAAATAATAATCAACAAGCAGGCTAGTCCTTAACTTCTGAAAATATTTATAATATATATATTGCGAGAAATACTCTTTTTTCCCCTTCAAAATAGCGAAATAATAATATGGCATCGTTAAAGACACACTTGTTTTTTTTTCTCAAATATTCTTGCTGAGCCTAGATTGGTTTTGAGTCACTATGGTGACTCTAGATATAATTGCAACATCGGCAATGAGTACGCCCCATCTCTCAATAGAAATAGTGGACATTTGCAAATACTCGAAATCTCACGAGCGTTTTAAGGAAGTGAAAAAAACCCACCTACAATTTTTATATATATTTCATCATGAGAAAAGGAGCAGACCAGATGAAATCATTTTTCGCAATAAATGCTATGTAGTGAATGATATATACCATATCTCACTGATCAAAATAATGTTACATTATATAGTCACCAGGAAATGTGCATATTATGTGAACCATTACTGTCCAATAGTGTACATTTTCTCAGTATATTCAATAATTTTAAGAAACAATATGAAGAGTGGACTAAACTGTTGGTTGTATTCTAACAACATCATCAACAAAACAACACAGAGATTTCCTGAACGTTTATAATACCAATTTAATTTTTCCCTATATTTTGGAAACATGACCATTTAGCCAGGCAATAGCTGTGGTCTTTTACTTAAAATTTGGCAAAAAATAAGAAATTACTTTTGCAGCAAATAGGCTACATATTCTATTTGAAATAATCTTATGCACGGAATGTATGTCCCTATTCATTTAACTTTCATTACCCAGTTTTCAAACAAATAATGGAGACTTTCAAATTTATTTCTTTGACGTGCCAAAGGCGAATTTTGTTTTAGCGTTGGAAAAATGGATAACGTTACTTGTGTACGTTTACAAATAATATGTCCTTATATCGGATTTATAATCATCAATGAAAATACCCCTCACTTCATCAGATGATATTTGCGTGTTATTGTTGTTGTTGTTGGTGGTGGTTTTCTCTCTCAATGTCTTGTACAATACACGTAGCTTCCGATAAAGGAGAAAAAGCCTTTTAATCTTTATTTTGTTTGTTTGTTTCTTTCATTTTTTTCTCAATGTCTTGTGCAATATATATGTTGCTTAATTCCAATAAACGAGAAAAAAGGCTAAACCTTAGATTGCTTTTAACCGAAGGCGATTATGGCCTTTGCCATAATTGTCGAGCCTGGCTCACCAGGTTCTGTACTGTTGGAAGCCCAACTGTCTTGAGCAATATAGAAAGTAAATTCATTGCTGGTATAATACGTATACACTGGTACATTACGAAACATCTGCGATTAACTAAAACATGCTGTAATGGTTAAACTCCCAATTTTTTGTAAATCAGCAGATCAATTACAACAAGTTCAGAAAGGAGATTATCGTATAACTATACATTCTTGAAAGTCAGTCTCAAAAACAAAAATAAAAACAAAAACAATGTATAAAGTAAATGTCTACATATTTAGGATGCAACGACAAATTTCGCGAACACCGTGCAAAGTTACACTTTTAGCGTTCTTGTCCAAAAAATAGTTCTGTGAAAAAATAAATATTAGGCGTTTAGTCAATGTCTTTTCAGATTTATATGTTCAATTTTGATACAAAAAGTGCCTTATGAATCTCATAAAATACACATCGTTTCCTGGTTTGCATTCCATTATCATTTTATTTTATTATTTTTGAGAAAAAAACATATAGCGGCGTAGACGGTATTTTTTTTTTGTAATGGAATTGAAACCGAATCAGTATATATATATCTTGTCTAACAGATGCAGAGTTACCAAAATTAATATAACAACAAAATTTATCTTCAAGATAAATTTCTACAAGTTTCAATAGACCGTTGTTAACACGGATAATTATATTTTAAGACATTTCTTATATATAACTGCAGCAAATCCAAATATTTTTGAAAAGGCACGTCGTACTTTGCTTTTGTTAATTTTACATATCCCAAAATTTAGGACCCCATTTTTCGCAATTTTAAAACCTTTTCTGGATGATGATTTTTTCTTGACCTTTGCTTATTATATATGACCCTCTGGTAATCTTGCATTTTTTGGTTTACGTTTCCTGATCATTGTTAATTGTCTGTGAGACTTAACTGAAGTTCAAAAATTGTGAAACCGTTTAATAGCGTACAAATGTACTTGACATTGGCCTTACCTAGCGTAGTTTTCATTCAAATGCTATATATAATTCTATGTTTTAAATGTTACATAGCGTTTATCTATACATGCATTGGTCTATTTGCAAACTATATTACAACAGTACTAAATAGTTTGGTTAAAATTAAACCAATGAACGCGCGTCTGGATACTTGTACATACGTTAAACGTTCAACCGAACTATTTACAATATGGATTTCGTGGTGAACATTTTCCCACGATATAAATGAATGGAAGATATTTATAGGGAAGTGATAGTGGTAGCCTTGTCTGAAGAAATACGCAATCGACGGTTATAGATTTTAACGTAGCCTTAATTTATTTGCGGAAAACAATAGTAATTCTGCATCGTCTTGTGCGCAATGCCATGTTTTTTTCACAATGAAAATACGGTTTGTTGGTCATATTTATAGCAGATGACTTGTTTTGATTGTTCTTATGTATGTCAAACAGATATATTTATTTATATGCTGCACTGTTCATCATGAGAGCTTACAAGAGTATCTTTGGAATACAAGAGTGTGATATTCTCGAAAAATTAATTATAGGGATAGTTCCACCTCCAGTATGAGATAGTGTTTTTCATGGAACATGAAAGATAGTTTTCTTCAATATTTTGATATTTTATACAAAGGCTACCACGAACATTTTCCAACTTGGAATTATCTTTTTGGAATATTCAGTTATATATATTTTTCACAGAAGTTTTCTCTTTGGAATTTAAGTGATACGTTCTCTTGAAGCTTTTGTCTTTACAATATTAAATGATTCATTTTCATGGAAATATTCTCTTTCGAAAAGTTAGTGATGCTCTTTTATTGAATTTTTCTCTTTAAAACATTAAATGAACCTTTTGACTTTTCTTTAAAAAATGATACATTTTCATGGAAATATTCTCTTTTTCGAATATTAAGTTATGCTTTTTCATCGGAATGTTCTCTTTAAAACATTAAGCGACACTTTCTTATGTAGTTTTTGTCTTTATAATAACTAGAATGATACTTTTTTCATGGAAATTTTTTCTTTGGAATATATTAAGGGATTTTCTTTTTACGGAAATGTTCTGTTCAGAATTTCATAGAATTTTTTTCTTTAAAATAAATTAAGTGACGCTTTTCTTATAAAAAATATCCCAAGCAACTTTTTTTGCATTTGAACTATTAAGTGATACGTTTTCATAGAAATTAGAACAGATACTTTTTCATAGACATTTTCTGTTTGAAATATTAAAAGCCACTTTCTCATGTAATTTTGGATTAACAATATTAAATGGAAATTTCTATGAAAAGTATCACGATATCTAAAAGGAAAAGTTGTATGAAAAAGTAAAATTTTTCTTTAAAATGTATCACTTAATACTCGTATAAAAATCCAATAATACATTTTTTAACATTGGAATTTTGGAACATCAAGTGATATACTTTTCATGGAAATTTTCTCTTTGGAACATAAAATTACATGTATATTTCTTCATGGATTCTTTTTTCTTTGGAATAAAATGATATATTTTCATGGAAAGTATTTAATTTGGAATGTTAAATGACATGTTTTATGGATTCATTTCTAAATTATATAATGTATTCTCCTGGAAAACATTTCATTTGGAATGTCAAATGATATATTTCATGGATTTTTTTGGAAATTAAATGATTT